TCCAGAGCCCCGGGGGGCAGCGCTAGGGGCCCTCCCCGGCAGCGCCCCAGCTGCTTTGCCTCCGGCTTCCCCAATTCAGCCGCTGGTCAGTTTTAGCAGCGGCTGAATCGGGGAAGCTGGGGACAGAGCAGCTCAAATGGTCCGGCTGCCCGGAGCACTTCCGGGTTCCTGATGGTGCAGGACCATCAGGAGTGCCGGACCAACAGATGCCGGACCATCGGAGTTTTACTGTAATTGCTAACTAACACCTAACCTACAAATACAATCTAGAAAGAATGCTAAGGTAAGTGCTTGCTAAGCAAGTGATCATAGTTCCAATGACCATCACTGACAGTAAAAAGGGACTAAGAGAACATCAAGTCAACAGGGATCTATTTCCAAGGGGGCTCCATAGCTGACCCCATGGGAGCTGCTAAGGGAAAACGCACATGGTTGGAACTGACTCAAAGAAGAACAAACAGCTTTGCTTTCTCCCATGCTGCCCCTCATGTTTGTATGGAGTCCCCCCATGCAGACCTGAAGAGCTACCATTCTCCTTCAAAACCCTGCTTTGCCATGTTACCTTAAAACAAATCTTGACAACAGTTAGGCTGCTGGGGTACTGAGACCTCTCTCAGTACCATCCTGTTGTCTCCTTGTACTCCCCTAATGTCTGCATCCATATGTTGTCTTGTCTCATCTCATTCTTAGACAGTAAACTCTTTGGGGGCAGGGTCTGTCTCTTTATTCTGTGTCTGTGAAGCATTTAGCACAATGGGATCATGGTCCACGAATAGAGCTTCTAGGTGACCCACTTCGTCAGATGCATGTAGTGGAAATTTCCAGAGGCAGGAATAAATATGCAGGCCAGGATCAGGCTGGAGATGACCAGGTGGATCCAATCAAGGAGGATGAGGCCCACTTCTAGCAGCTGATCTGGAGGTGTGAATTCCAAGAGAATAGAAGCTGCTTTTGTAGTTAGCAAGCCATTCACAGTCTTTGTTTAATCCAGAGTTGATTGTGTCAAACTTAAAGATGAACTGTAGCTCAGCAGTTTCTCTTTGAAGTCTGGTCCTGAAGTTTTTTTGCTGCAGGATGGCTACTTTTAGATCTGCAATTGTGTGTCCAGGAAGATTGAAGTGTTCCCCTACAGGTTTTTGTATGTTGCCATTCCTAATATCAGATTTGTGTCCATTGATTCTTTTACGTAGGGACTGTCCTGTTTGGCCGATGTATATAGCAGTGGGGCATTGTTGGCACATGATGGCATATATTACGTTGGTGGATGTGCAGGAGAATGTACCAGTGACAGTATGGCTGGTCTGGTTAGGTCCTGTGATGGTGTTGCTGGTGTATATATGTGGGCAGAGTTGGCACCGAGGTTTGTTGCAAGGATTGGTTCCTGAGTTCGAGTTATTATGGTGCGGTGTGTAGTTGCTGGTGAGAATATGCTTCAGGTTGGCGGGTTGTCTGTGGGCAAGGACCGGCCTACCTCCCAAGGCCTGTGAGAGCGAGGGATCATTGTCCAGGATGGGCTGAAGATCACTAATGATGCGTTGGAGAGGTTTTAGCTGGGGACTGTAGGTGATGGCCAGTGGTGTTCTGTTGGTTTCTTTCTTGGGCTTGTCCCGTAGCAGGAGGCTTCTGGGTACACGTCTGGCTCTGTCAATCTGTCTCCTCACTTCCTCGTGTGGGTATCGCAGTTTACAGAATGCTTGTTGAAGGTCTTGTAGGTGTAGGTCTCTGTCTGAGGGGTTGGAGCATATGCGGTTGTACCTCAGTGCTTGGCTGTAAACAATGGATCGTGTGGTGTGTCCGGGATGGAAACTGGAGGCATGCAGGTAAGTATAGCGGTCGGTAGGTTTTCTGTATAGGGTGGTATTGATATGACCGTCACTTATTTGTATCGTGGTGTCCAGGAAATGGACCTCCCGTGTAGATTGGTCCATGCTGAGGTTGATGGTGGGGTGGAAGCTGTTGAAATCATGGTGAAATTCTTCCAGAGTCTCCTTCCCATGGGTCCAGATGATGAAGATGTCATCGATGTAGCGTAGGTAGAGAAGGGGTGTAAGTGGACGAGAGCTGAGGAAGCGTTGTTCCAGGTCAGCCATAAAAATGTTGGCGTATTGTGGGGCCATGCGGGTGCCCATAGCAGTGCCACTGGTCTGGAGGTATATGTTGTCACCAAATCTGAAATAGTTGTGTGAGGATAAATTCACAGAGTTCAGCCACCAGTTGTGCTGTGGCATCATCAGGAATACTGTTCCTGACAGCTTGTACTCCATCTGCATGTGGGATGTTTGTGTAGAGAGCCTCTACATCCATGGTGGCTAATATGGTGTTTTCTGGAAGATCACCTATGCATTGTGGTTTTCTCAGGAAATCCGTAGTGTCACGGAGGTAACTGGGAGTGCTGGTGGCGTAGGGTCTGAGCAGAGAGTCCACATAGCCAGACAGTCCTTCAGTGAGAGTGCCAATGCCCGAGATGATGGGGCGTCCAGGATTTTAGGTGCTATGGTAATACAAATAATTTTTCTCCCTCTTGTATTATGTGTAAATTACGTTTGAGCTTGCTTTATAAATGCTATGTACACTTGGAGTGAATCACAGCCACCTGTGGAATAGAGGGCAGCATCTAACTGACATGCAGTTCTCTGTGTAACAGCTGAGGGGTAGGGCAAGAGAAGCTTAGGCTAAAGAAAGCAGCAGAGGCCAAGTCTCTTTTTTTAAAAAGGAGTTTAATGTTTAGCTTCTAAATCCATATTCAGCCAACAAAATAAGTGACCTGATTTTCATAAGGCAGAGTGCCCATTAGCTCCCATTGAACTATTAACTTAGGGAGAAAAAAGAAAGCTCAGCTTGTGGTTACTGAAGTAGAAGAAAAAAACTTGGCATAATATATATAAAGTATGTACACCTATCTATTAGATAATATGTAGCCTCTGATATATTACACTGTATAACTGACTGCATTTCTTCTGAGTGCCTCAATGCAGCAGAAATTTAGAGAACAATATCAAAGTTCAATATTTTAAACTTGTATTGGCTTACTTAAAAGAAAGCTTGCAGCTATTAAGGTTTTCTTGCAATCCACTCCCTACAGCAAGGGTGGGCAATAATTTTAGATGGGGGCCACTTCAGAAATTGAAGTGGCCCCTGGGCAGCCCCAAAACGGACAGGGCCAGGATACTTCTGTATTTCCCCACCCACAGACCCTGACTGGCCTGGGGGTGGGGAGAGCATGTGAAGTCTTTGTCCTTACCACCCCCCTCAGACAGAACTGTCAGCTGTTCTGAACAGGTGGTGGTTCCTTCTAGGCGCCCGCACTCCAGGCAGCTGGAGACTTTGCATGCTCTCCCTGCCCCCAGGTCAGTCAGGGTCTGGGGAAGCACCGGAAGCCTCTCACTCTCTGCCCCCGCCCTGCAAGGGGTGCCATGCTTAGAGTCAACCCTGCCAGTTGAGCAGCAGCTAGTGATTGACTAAGCACCACATGCCCCTTGCAGGGCGGAAGAAGACTTTGTGCACTCCTCCGTCCCCAGGCCCTGAATGGCATCTGCCAGATGAATCAAGCTGCTTGGCGGGGGGCCGCATCTGGCCCGTGGAGGCCCTTTTGCCCACCCCTGCTCTATAGTGTCACAAATGCAACTTTGCCTTAAGGATCTCGATGGCTAACTGGTAGTAAGGCTTACTGGTTCTGGTTAACTGGTTGGGGCTGGAGCTGCTCCCCACCCGCCATGGGTTAGGGGCTGGACTGGCCAGCTGGAGTAGCCCCTATGTATGGCAGGTGAGCTGCTGCTCCCCCCCAGCCACCTTCCCTTTAATCAGTTAACCAGTTAAACATTACGTTTAATCGGTTAACTAATTAAACGGGACTTTACATCTCTTCTTCAATAAATAGGGCCCATCTAAGAAATGAACAGTTGCCTCTTGATAAATAGCCTGGTCTGAAACTCGTAAAGCACTGGGTTTTGGACTGACTATTCACTGATGGGAAGATTGATGTGTCTCTCTTAAAGGAATAACAGCTTTTCTTGCCAGCAAACATTCCACTCCCTCAGCATACAGAATTAAGTCAACAAAAGCTCACAAATAACACTGATTAATAGGGAGTAGATGTGGTATACAGAATATATGAAGAGGCAAGCTGTGTACACAATTTAGGAAAAGCCATTTTGTTCCACACACAAAAAATATATGTCAACAAATGGAATTTGTAGCAGGCAGACCACACAACATGTGGGTTATGTGGTAGGATACACAGTAGTTATTACTGCTATATTATAAACCCTGCCATGACATTTAACAATAATTTATAATATGCTTATCACCGTGAAATTAAATACCTAACAAGCTTTAAAAAATATTTCACAACAAACATATCTGTCTTGGAAGAAAGGAGTGAACTTTCTACAGGAAATCAATATTGTTCATTGGCAGCCATTCTGCACAACAGGCAGTCCAACAAAGTTGGTCCAATAAAAGATTCCCCCCTTTACCCCACCTTGTTACCCTGCACAACAGGGAAATTTTACACTTCTAGGACAGTATCAAGAATTTGTTTTCTTTCTTACAGTAATTTTGGGAAATGGGAGTTTTATCTGGCCATGAAGGAAAGCAAGGGAGGATGAATTCTAAACTCATCCATGCTGCAACTTCAGCTTTGGAGTAGAGCCATGCGCAGATACAAAATTTTTATCCGCAGATGCATATGTATCCAGAAAAATGAGTTGTGGATATCTGCACTGACATCCGCAGAGGCCCATGGATATAAAGCAGATAGGTTCAGATGTGCAAAGTTCTAAATACAAAATTTGTATCTGCATCTGCAAAAATGAGTCATAGCTATCCTCATCAATGGATATCTGCAAATTTTCAGGGATCTACTTTGGAGGTCTCCTCAGTTGACAATATAAAACACCCTAATTTCTGTCTCCCCTCTACTTTGCTGCATCAGGTTTTTAAGAGGCAGCACTTCCTGTTATGTCAGTGACTTCTACTAGATGGTTCAATTCAGCTTTGTAAGAGATGTTTAGTTTTGAAGTAGAAGCCTGGGGAGTGTTAAATATTAGCATTTGTGTTTGTATCACTTGGGGTTGGGAGAAGTGAAAGGGAGAATGGGCTGTTAAATCCCAGCCAAATCTACAGTAGATGTTTCTGAGGTTAGTTAAGTAAACTAGAGAAGAATGTGTCATTCATTATAGCTTAGTCACAGATTCAGACACTACAATTTCTTTTTTAAACTGTCAACTGATCACTCGTTTTCTGTTCTCCTCTTGAGATAAGATTTCCTGTGTCTCTATGCTGATATCTGAAACCTTGCATTGCATTATTTAAATAATCTGTGTATGCTGTCATGGATTTAAAGGCTATTATATACAAGGCAGTTTATTACTTTCCCCTCAAATAAGTTAATTCTGCTTCTACTTGTCTCTTAAATTAGGACACCAGGCCCTCCTTGTCCCCCATTTTATTAAAGGACGACAATGTCTCAAGACTGAAACCTGAACTGTAGCTCTTCCTTTTCTCAAATGAAGAGGTTGAATGTCTGACTGTCAGACAAACATCTAAGGTCTTGGCCATGTGGAATATATTCGGATTAAGCCCTCTGTGGCCAGGTGCGGATGTAGCTGCACTGGTGAAAATCTCTAATGTAGAGAAGGGAAGCTGTGATTTTCACTGGCCCTCCAGAGGAGCACCACTGTGGCATGTTGTGGCTTCTTTTGCTTACACTAGGGGGTTTATATTGGTGGTGCTATTCTGAGGGCTGGTCACTCAAGAAGACATTCTTTAGACACGACACACACTAATTCCTTTTATAGTTGTTTAGAAATTCCAATTCTCACACATCCCCACAGCAGTAGGACTGCAAGAGTGTTTAAATACTTTGGTATTAATTCCCAAATTCCCAATAAATTCTTCTACAAAGATATTCTGTTGGCAACGAATCTAATGAAAATGTTTTACTAGTGTTATGTCATTACCACACACTCATTCTCTCGAAGCATGAAAGAGTTAAATGGCTATTTACTGTGCTCTTTCTTCAGCAAGCATGTTTGTAGTTTATACACAGTGAGACATTCACTCTTTTGGTAAATGGCTGGAAGCCAAGGTACAGAGGTCAATGTCACAGTATTTTCATCACAGTTCGTTTACCACAAGCGATGGCTGCTAGAAAATCTTACCATTTGCTCCACAAACCTCCCTTCAGTTTTTTTCTTATCCTTTCTATAATTTAGACTCTAGTCCTCCATGAAAAATTATAGAATAAATATGTGAAGGAACAGAAGACCAAAGTGTTGATAGAAATAGAATTACTTGGTGTTTAAATATTTATATAGTCTCAATATAGTCATGTATATGTTCAAAATGTCCATTGACTTTAGTGATTACAACATTTTTACTCTCTTTGTTCTGCAGAGCTAACAGCTGAGAGAGTGAACTGGATTCTTTTGTTCATCAGAGTTGTAACTGATTGGAGCTTAAGAAATAATTATGCAAAACTATCATAGGTGTCACTGATAATATAACTTGGACAGAACTTTGCAAGCACTCTCACACACATTTTCAAAGCAGAAGCAAAAGAGCAAGAGCCCCAACCTGTTTCTTACCATGCCTACCAACCACCAAACCGAGTTCAGCTGCCCCATGCATTCAGTTTAAAATGAAAAATTTTCTCAGCAGAGTGATTCATTCATTGAAAAAGAGTTAACCTTCAGTGTTTCACAATGTACCTTCTCTGTCTACCCTTGATTTTTTTCCCCATTGCAGCTAGAACAATGACTTATCTGCACCCCTAGCTCCTTCCTTACAGATCAGAAAGTGAAAAAAAAATCTACACAGTATGAAATGTTTAATGAGCTCATGCAATCTGCCTGCACTGATAGAGCTCAACTGAATACATGGAGGAGAACGCTGCTAGATGCCATTGGGAGAACAAAAAAGCATGCAAGTAACATGAGCATAAGATGCAGGACAAGATGTTGAGGCTCATAGAGGAACCAACAGAACTGATGAGGAACCTGATAGAGGTGAAGGAAAAGCACCTGGAGTACAGAATCCCCCTGCACCTATTGGTAAACCACCAATTCCTCACCAACTTCGATGGCCTGCTCTCCCTGGCATCTTAGAATCATGGGGTGGTGTCAGGGAAAGGCCCAGGAAGACTTTCACTCAACTCCCAGTGACGTCTCCTGGAACAGAAGTCTGACATTCCCACAGTTCTGATTGCTACACAAGGGACTGTAATAAGTCACTTTAATTCTCTCCTTCCTCCCCCATCAGACCTTTTTACCATAAACTCTTTTTCTGTCTCTGTTCCCTGTGTTTCCTAAATAAAAATGTATGATTTCAGAAGAACAGAATCTTTATTCTTTGTATCCACTGTGTTTGGAGGGGAAGTGTCTACAGGTCAGTACATGTACACATCAGTACATGTTAAAAGCAACCGTCAAATCATTGTCTGGTCATTCATGACATTGGTGTTCAAAGCTTCTCTGATGCACAGCACCCTTTAATGTGCTGTAATGTCACGCGCTATATCGCACCCGCGCCAACATCGACTCCCCACCCAATGACTGCCAGAAATCCCTTCAGGTTCCAGAGGAGTCCCCTATTTATTGACATAGTTTGCTACACACTTCCGGGTCAATACATCTTGCACTGTAAGATCAGCCCCACAGCACTAGCCAAATCCCTCCCGCTAACGCAACACGTGGTGAGGGAAGGGGGACCTGGGCCTACCCTCACTCCAGGTCTCGACCCAGGACCCTAAAGGTGGGGAACTCTTCCCTGGCTCGGTTGGTGGGGTGTTACCCCTAAATGCACCAACCCTCGGGTGTCCACTCAGCCCTACCCTGGGTCAATTCCTTCCCCCTCTGGGGCATCACCTGTCCGTCCGACAGGTTACCTTTCCTCCCCGTCTCCCTCTGCCGCTCCCTTTTATAGCCCACTCCCAACACGCCTTCCTCCCTGTGCCTGTGTTGGCCCCTCCCCCTGTGTACACCGCGGGGGTGCCCGCTGACATGGGAGCATCCACACTACCCTGCAGGCTCCGCCCGCTCCTAGAGCTGCCACCGTTCTCTCCTGCTGGTGCTGCAGCGTCCTACCCGTGCAGGTCACTCCCCTGCTGCACCTGCCCCCTCTGTGAGCGGAGGCCATCCTCCTTCCAGGACAGAACAGAGCCCAGCGCAGAGCCCGGCGCATGCTCCACAAGAGCGGCACCATGTTTTTTCTGCTGCAGCCCTTGCCGCGCTACCCCAGACGTCCCCCTGCCGAGAGCGCGGGGCGCGTCTAACCCATCACAGTGTTCTCCTTACTGCCCTGGTGTCTGGATGATCTGCCTCAACCCTCCACTATGCCAGAAACTTTTCCCTCTTACTTTTGAATATATTATGTAGCACACAGCAAGCATCCACAACAATGGGAATGTTGCTTTCACTGTGGTCTAATCTAGTGAATAAACTCTGGAAGCATTCCTTCAAATGGCCAAAAGCACATTCTACCATCATTCTGCACTTGCTCAGCCAGTAGTTGAACTACTCCTTACTGCTGTCTAAGTTGCCTATGTATGACTTCATGAGCCCTGAGAGCAATGGATACGCTGGGTCTAAAAGGATCACTATTGGTATTTCAACATCCCCAGGCACAGGCATGTTAACAAGAAGAAGGTGATCAGAGAGGGTGTGCGGCCCCTAATGGATGAAGGTGGTAACCTAGTGACAGATGATGTGGGGAAAGCTGAAGTACTCAATGCTTTCTTTGCCTCTGTATTCACGGACAAGGTCGGCTCCTGGACTTCTGCGCTAAGTGACGCAAGATGGGATGAAGATGGACAGCCCGTGGTGGGTAAAGAACAGGTTAGGAACTATTTAGAAAAGCTAAACGTACATAAATCCATGGGTCCGGACTTAGTGCATCCGAGGGTACTGAGGGAGTTGGCAAATGTCATTGTGGAGCCTTTGGCTATTATCTTTGAAAAGTCATGGAGATTGGGAGAAATCCCGGATGACTGGAAAAAGGCAAATGTAGTGCCCATCTTCAAAAAAGGGAAGAAGGATGATCCAGGGAACTATAGGCCAGTCAGTCTTACCTCGGTTCCTGGAAAAATCATGGAAGGGATCCTTAAGGAATCCATATTGAGGCACTTGGATGAGAGGAAAGTGATTAGGAATAATCAGCATGGATTCACAAAGGGCAAGTCGTGCCTGACCAATCTGATTAGCTTCTATGATGAGGTAACTGGCTCGGTGGACATGGGGAAGTCAGTGGATGTTATATACCTTGACTTTAGCAAGGCTTTTGATACGGTCTCCCACAATATTCTTGCCAGCAAATTAAGGGATTGTGGATTGGATAAATGGACGGTAAGATGGATAGAAAGATGGCTAGAAGGCCGGGCCCAGCAGGTAGTGATCAATGGCTCGATGTCAGGATGGCGGTCGGTTTCTAGCGGAGTGCCCCAAGGTTCGGTTCTAGGACCGGTTTTGTTCAATATCTTTATTAATGATCTGGATGAGGGGATGGATTGCACCCTCAGCAAGTTTGCGGATGACACTAAGCTGGGGGGAGAGGTAAATACGCTTAAGGGCAGAGATAGGGTACAGAATGACTTAGACAAATTGGAGGATTGGGCCACAAGAAATCTGATGAGGTTCAACAAGGACAAGTGCAGAGTCCTGCACTTGGGACAGAAGAATCCCAAGCATAGTTACAAGCTGGGGACCAACCGGTTAAGTAGTAGTTCTGCAGAAAAGGACCGGGGGGTTACAGTGGATTAGAAGCTAAATATGAGTCAACAGTGTGCCCTTGTAGCCAAGAAGGCTAATGGCATATTAGATTGCATTAAGAGGAGCATTGCCAGCAGATCC